ACACACACACACACACACACACACACACACACACACACACACACACACACACACACACACACACACACACACACAAAACTGCAGTGTGGTTTTCAGGTTAAGATCCCAAGTGAATTTGTGTTGATATGACCAGCATGTGTGAGTGGGCTCTTCAGAAGTATTAACTCTCACTAATTATCTAAGTACACTTAGGGTAGCTCACAAGAAGTCTTTTGGTACCAAAAAGGATTTTTAAAAATTTCCTTTGTCATTGTTCTTCAAAGGAGATTATAGTGTAAGTGGTGGTGATAGAACATGATGAGCCCTGGGTTCAAGTTCCTTCTTCAGCCACTTCCTCTTTTATCCTTTACTTGACTAAATCTCAGTTTTCTCATCCACAGAATGGGACTGACAATACTTAAACTACCAAACATACCAGGTGGTTGTGAGGAAAGTATATTGTAAGTGGTGCAATACTAACTCAGAGGTGGTAGCTCTTCAGATATTTCTTTTTCTGGCTGTTCCTAGTCAGATTCTCATGAGATCCTGTATTACAAAACTAACTTCTTTCAAGTCACAGGAGGAGAATTGAAAATTTTTCATCTATATCCAGAGACAGGGATATAATCTAATTATCTAAGAAGACTCTTTCCTTAGAGTTAGCTAATGTCACTTTTATTATTAAACCTTTGATTTTTCTAATGTAACCTCTTTACTTTTTCTTGTACCCATTTATGACTTAGTATACTTTCACTTCCTTTTTGTTTTGTAATGTTTGATTTCCACCTTAAGTGTTAATTGTCTTCTTTCCCATTTTCAGGAAGTACTCCAACAACCCCAACTTCCACTCAGGCCCCTCTGAAGCTTGAAGCATCACCAGCTCAAGCTTCAACTCCGGTTCTGGTTCCGGCTTCGGCTCCTGGTTCTGCCCCACCCTTATCCCTTGCCACATCAACTACCACTTTCATTCTGCCTACAGTCAGTCTCCCTGCTGCCACCTTCCCATTTGGCTCTCCATCCTTGAAATCATCCAGTTTGATGTCAGGAGATCCCCCTCCTTATCCCTTTTCCTCAGACAGCTCCAAACCAGCTCTAAGCTCCGCTGTAACTAGCACGCCAGCCTTTTCTTTTACACCACCTTCTAAAGCCCCGCTGGCCTCAGCCCCCTCCCTAGCCCCAGTGACTACCTCTGCATCTTCCTTCTATTTTGGATCTCCTGCTTTTAAGCCTGCGGTGGAAAATACTCCAGTGGCTAGCATGTCTAATCCACACATGGGGGCAAAGACATCTTTCCCACCTACGTCCTCTGCAGCTAAAGTAAATCTGAATGAAAAGTAAGTAATACTTCCTTGAGAGAATTGAATTTTTCTTTGTGATACATAGAAATATTTAGGTTTTGTTTTGGCCAGTGGGTAGAGTCTAGAGGACTTGTGTATAGATTTATATGGCACTCCCCATTAGACTATCAGTTCCTTTAGGAGGAGGGGCTATGTCTTCTATTTCTTTTGCCCTCCTCTCATTGCTACTCCAGGACCCTGCACACTTAGTAAATGCTTGGTGAATAAGGAAGGGGTTGAGTGAGTGTTCTTTTGGCAAAAGGCAGAAGTAGGAATGCCCTGGTTGGGAGGCTTTCCTTTACTCCAAAGCTTAGTTGAACAGATGCTGAAACTAGTACTCTATTGTGGCAAATTTAGTAATTCATATTCCTGTTAAATATTTATTAGACAAGAAGGTTGAAGAGTTCATTCTCAAAACAGCAGAATATCCATTAAAGTACATTCATATTTCCTTACAACCTGTACCCTTTGAAAGCAATATTCAAGACATTTGTATTGCATGAAGTTAGGAGCATTTCTCTTGAGAATAAATTACCTTTTGGGGGTGTCACTTTTTACTAACATGAGAAAGAAATATTTGTAATGGGCTCTTTTGAAATATTCTGATTTTTTAAAAATTTTTTTTGCAGATTTCCTGCTGGGGAGTCATCTACTCCTGTCAGCACTTCCCAGAGCAGCTCCTCAATGCTATCATTTTCCTCAGCCTCCAAATCAGCTTCTGCCGGCCCTGTCAGTCAGTCCACACCTCTCTCATCTTCATCTAGCTCAGTATCAGCAAAGTCGTCGGTATCTCCCTCTGTTTCAGGTATGCTTTCAAGCAGATGGTTTTAAAGGGCTTAGATTCTCAATGAGGAAAAGGATAGAGACTGGACTGATAATTGATAATTTCCAGTAATTCCCTTCTTCCAGTACAGGGCAACATTTCTGCCTCTTAGAGAATTACCTAGAGCACTAAGATGTTCAGGAATTTGCCCAAGTACATGTCAAATGTGGGACTTGAACACAGGTCTTCCTACTCAATGCTGGCTCTCTGACTGCTACGCCATACCGACTCAAATATTCTCAAAGAACTTTTTTTTCCCCAGAGTTCTTAGAGATACTAGTTAAGTGAATGGAAAAAGTTATTTCTTTCTCCTCTCATGGTAGAATAAGTTACTATGGATTTTGTATTCTCTTATGTAGGAGAATCTGTAGATAATGTGGTGTTATGGACCTAATACTGTGATTGGCAGGTTTCCTTGTCTCCTTATCATTCCTCACAGAGCTGAATGTATGTGGTGATTGAAATAATGGGTCTAGTCACCATTCATCTGCGTCTAGTGTCTGTCTCTGTCCTTTGTGGACTCTAAAATGATTCATTAAACGGCAGAGATGAGAATGGTCCTGCAGTGACTATTATACTTGTCACCTGAGCCCAAAGCAGTGTCAAGTGAATGACTTTTGCAGATGTCAAAACCATGAACAATCTGTCACCTAGAGGGGCAGCAGCAGGCAGCTGAAGAGGACCAAGCCGAAGGGCAGTGCAGGCAGTGTCTAGTATATTTCCTTAGCCTGTTCCTATTTGGGATTTGGTATCATAAGTTATTTTCATGAATTAAAATAACGGTTTAAATTTATATGGCGTTTTACAGCTTACAAAACCCTTTCCTCACAATAGCTCTGTGAGATAACTAGTCCGAGGAGTCGTATCCTCATTTTGTCGGTCAGTCAGTGAGTGTTTATTAAGCACCTGCTCTGCCATGCAGAATCCTAGGTACTGAGGATATGTGTACAAAGAGTGAAACGATCTCTACTCACCTAGACCTTACATTCTTGAGGAGGTGAGGAAATTCTTTGAGAGGCTTGGCTTCTTCCTATGCTACCATTGTGTCTTTAAGCACTAGAAAGAGTTTCATTTTCAGTAAGCCTACAGTGTCTCCTAGCTATATCAGGTTGGTTTCACCAAAGAAAGGTTATAGAATTATTGAAATCTTATCTCCCAAGAATAGCCTGCTCTGAATTCACTCTTACCTAGGAGAAAGGAAGGCCTGGTGCTGCTTACCACGGTTAGTTTAGTCTTCTGATAATGGATTCTCTTTACTTCCTCTTCCTATAGAAGTATTTCTATACTGACTATATTTCTCATATTATATGTTGTCTTCCCTCTTTCATCCCAATTTGAGGAACTAATCTTCTGTCTCTGAAGGTATGGGGAATGGAGAAAAATGGCATCACGTGAATCAATACTGTCATTGTCAGAAGTGCCAGCAGCAGATCTTCAGTTCTCATCCTTGGTTCTCACTGGGCTATTTTGGGACCACCCATGCTAGCACCTGTGACTAGCAAGACCTTGTCTGAATGTTTCCACTAATGGTAACCATGGCAGCCTTCTGTATGTTGCCATGGCTGATAGCCACTCTGGGGAAGAATTATACACCTTTTTTCTTTTCTCGTATTTAGAGTTGAGGAAATTATGTAAATGTGATATATTGATTGAGTTATCTCGTTGTCATTACAGGACGCTCTTCCCAGAGCAGTCCAGTATCTTCAATGGTGCAGAAATCAGCCAGGATCACTGCTCCAGTGGCAAAGTCAAGTACTACTCAGGTACTAAGTGCTTGGATTCAAGCAAAATTATATGTGCTTTTTGATAAACTCATTTAAGTGTTTTTTTGTTTTTTTTTTTTTGAAACTATGATTCATATTTTTTTTAGAACTATCACTTTTGAAGAATCTCTTTAACATCATATTTTGACCTTGTAATGCAATAAAAAATATCAAAAAGTGCAAGGTTTTGACTCAGTGCATGCACACTTTATCTTAAACTAAAGATTATAGGTTTCTATTCTCTGTTGACTCACTCATACCTTTTTTTTGGCTAGGCATTGGGATTAAGTGACTTGCCCAGGGTCACACAGCTAGTAAGTGTCAAGTGTATGAGACCAGATTTGAACTCATGTCCTCCTGACTCCAGGGCAGGTGCTCTATCCACTGTGCCACCTAGTTGCCCCCTCACTCATACCTTTTTATATTATGGGATGTCTGCTTTTCTTCCTTATTTCTAAATGCCATATAGCATTTAATTTTTCCCATCCTTCCCCCAAATAAGCAAGAAATAAACCTAATGGCTTTATTTTTCTGGTCCTCCACCATCAATTTCTTTCTTATGAGACTTAAGTTAAAACCTCAGAGAACCTTGAACAGTTGAGTCCCTCCTTAGTCACGAACCTTTGACAGTGTATTTTTAACTGAATTTGCATTTCAGAAGCTTCTGTTAACTACTGTGTGTAATTAGAAGGAATTAAACCTCGTGCAAGACTTATCACCTATGTTAAATGTTTGGATACATACACAGGCTGCTTTCAGTGGTCACAACTTAGTAGGTTTTCAAATTTCCCATTTCAGGCCAAATCACCACAGCCTGCCGTAATAGAAAAGGAGCTGCCCCAGTGGAAAGATTCAGACCCTGTGATGGCTGGAATCAGTGAGGAGGTAATGTGGTATCCTGCAGATAGATTTTTTTTTTTGCTACTCTGACCTAATGCAACAACATCAATGAAACTTGGTTCTGGTAAAGGCTTTTAGCCACTACCATCATCCTAGTGGGTGGCCTCAGCCCATTTCCCTGGATACAGGTTCACAACTCTGCACTGGATTAGTCAGTTCTGCAATAGCAGCAGTCATTCAGATCTCATTGTCTCACTTTTGGATTGGCTTTTCTTACTGCATGATCATGCAGATTGCACATTTCCAAAAGGAGATGGAAGAGCTAAAAGCCCGAACTTCCAAAGCCTGTTTCCAAGTTGGCACCGCTGAGGAGATGAAGATGCTGCGGACAGAATCAGAGGAGTTACACACCTTTCTCCTGGAGATTAAAGAGACAACAGAGGTATTTATCTGTTCATCTTTTCCCTAGGTTGAACTGGCTTGTTGGGCATTAATGCTTCACCTCTTCAGAGGTGAGGTGAAAAACTGTCATGGTTTCCTACACTGCTTATGCATTTGACTCCTTCCCTTTTGATTTGGATCAGTGGTTTCAGTCTTTGGGTTTAAAATTCATTACTTTTCAAATGACCTTCCCCCCTATTTTCCTGTATTTTTACCAAATAATCTAATAACCCAGTTAGTCTTTTTGTTGACATTACCCTGCTTATTCCAAAAAAAGATTTTTTTTAGTCTTGAAAACATTTGTCTTCATCAATATATTCCTTTGATTCTTTTAGTCTCTTCATGGAGATATTAGCACCCTGAAGACCACCTTACTGGAGGGTTTTGCAGGGGTTGAAGAGGCAAGAGAACAGAATGAAAGAAATCATGACTCTGGATATCTTCATTTACTCTATAAGAGACCACTGGATCCTAAGAGTGAAGCCCAGCTTCAGGTAGGAAATACTTGGAGAAGTGGGCCTTCTCAGTTGTTTGCATGTGATGTTTGCCATTGCTACAGGTAAAGACTAGCATTTTTCTTGACAAGTTATTATGTGGACTTGATGAATATCAACAAATAAGGATGTTTCTTTATATAAAGAACAGAAAAAAAGATACTTTGGATCTTTATTACATACAACTTGAATTTTTTTAAAAATATATTTTATAAATTTATCACAATAATTCTTACTCTGCTCTGCTGAGATTGACACTCTGGAGATTTATTTATTCTCTCCCTCTCCTCAACTGGCCATTAGCATACATGCCATCAGGCAGATGGGTTGCGTTGGTTGTGACCTCCTGATCCAAACACCCTGCATACTTGTCTGAATCAGAAAGAAAAGTGTGCTTTCCCATTCAGTTATACTTTTTCTATTAAAAAAAACAACTTGTAACTTTGTACATATCTGTCCTCTTGGTAGACTGTAAATTTCATGGATGCAGGGGTTCTTCCTAATTTCAAATTTATCAGACTCTCAGTGCCTAACACAGGCCATTGCACTCAGTAGTCATGAGGTCAAAGGATCATAGATTTAGAATTGGAAGAGACCTTAGAGGCCATTGAATTGAGGCCTCATCTTGTAGATGAGGAAGCAGGCCCAAAGAGGTTAAGTGATTTGCCCAAGGTCTCAGACCTAGTGAGTGTGTGAGGCAGAATATGAACGCAGGTGTTCCTGACTAAAAGTCCAGTGCCTGTTTATCAGATCATATATATCACTATATGTCTAGTCACTTAATAAATGTTTTTTGAACTCTTTGCTTGAAGAGTTAAATGTAATAATACATTATTGAGAAGGATATGTTTATAGATTTAGATTTAATGGAATAAGGAGCTACTCTTAACTGTTATCCATCACTGCTTAATCTGAGCTTGCCCCCTCAGATGTGAGTATAGAATTCTACTTTCATTTCTCCCTAAATCTTTATATCTCTAGGTCTAAGATTCTTAGTCAGTGGACTAGTATCTTTTGTTAGCTGCTTTGCTTGTGTCCACTTCCTTGCAAGTTTGTCAGGATTTGGAGCAGGGGCAGTCTCCCCCCCTCCTCCCCCCTTTATTCAGAACTTTTACTGTCAGCACCATCTCTCATCATCTCTTCCTTTGAGGAAATGAAAAGTAACCTCTCGTTAGAAAAAGATGGTAGACCCCCTTTTTTGGGGGGGGGGGGACACCAGTGAAGTGATATATTTTTTTTTAAATCAAATGAAACATAACCTGCCTTCTCACCTTTCCAGTATTTTTTTTTTTGTAAATAGCATTTTATTTTTTGTTCCCAATTACATGTAAAGATAGTTTTCAACATTCATTTTAATAGGATTTTGAGTTCCAAATTTTTCTCCCTCTGTCACCCTCCCTCCTCCCCAAGATGGCAAGCAATCTGATAGAAGTTTATACATGTGCAATTATGGAAACATATTTCTACCTTAGTCATGTTGGGAAAGAAGGAACAAAACAAAAGGGAAAAGCCACAAAAACAAAAAAAGTGAATATAACATGCTTCAATCTGCATTCAGACTCCATAGTTCTTTCTCTAGACATGGACAGCATTTTCCATCGTGAGTCTTTTGGAATTGTCTTGGATCATTGAATTACTGAGAAGAGTTAAGTCAATCATAGTTGGTCATTGTACAGTGTTACTGTTACTGTGTATGATGTTCTCTTGGTTCTGCTCAGTTCGCTCAGCATCAATTTATGTAAATCTTTCCAGATTTTTCTCAAATCCACCTGCTCATCATTTCTTATACTACAATAGTATTCCATTACATTCATATACCACAGCTTGTTCAGCCACTTTCCAATTGATAGACATCCCCTCATTTTCCAATCCTTGCCACCACAGAAAGAGCTGCTATAAATATTTTTGTACATGTGGGTCTTTTCCCCTTTTTTATGATCTCTTTGGGATACAGACCTAGTAGTGATATTTCTGGATCAAAGTGTATGCACAGTTTTATAGCCCACCAACAATGCATTAGTGAGACCTTCTTTTATAGTGAAAAGCCTCTATGAGGATTCAGGGCATCTTGGAGTCAGAAATTCTTTCAGGTTTATCTTTTTTTTTTTATCAAGCAATAAGCAATAAGCATTTATTGAGCATCAACTCTTTTCTAGACATTGGGAATACAAGTAGAAGAGAAATGAAACAATCTCTACTCACAATGAGCTTTTATTCTAATGGGGAAAGAAAGTGTATTTCTATATATATATATACACAGATATACACTATCATCCATCCAGGTACCTGTGCCCAAACATTGGTATAATCTTTAAATCTTTCCCTTTCTCTTGCCTATCCCATTCAATCTGTGACTAATAATAATAGCTCAGATTTATATAGTGTTTTAAAGTTCATTTAGTTCTCTCAACAACCTTGTGAAGTAGGTTTAATTCTGCCTATTTTACATACGAAGACACTGAGTCTTGGAGAGATTAAGAGACTTGTCCAGGGATACACAGCTAGTAAATATCTAAGATGGAAGTCAAAACCAGTCTTCTTAACACCAAGTTCATCACTCCATCCAAAAAACTATCTCTTCTATCTGTTCTTACCTCCCTCTCTTTAGTTCAGGCCCATAGCACATTTCACTTAGATGACTACAATAATTGTCTTTTTCTGACTTTAGTTTATGCCTTCACAGAATCCCTCCCTGAGACTTGGAAAGAACTTCAGACATCATCTAGTTCAGCCTATAACTAAGCAGGAATCCCCTTTAAAATATGCCAGAAAACTAGAAATCCAGTCTCTATCCGAATAATTCCAATGATAAGAAATCCACTACATCCACTTGGGGACATACTTAATTTAGAGGAAGCTTTTCTTTACATTGAACTGAAATCTTCCTCTCTCAGACTTTTCACCCATTGCTCCATGGTGACAAGCAAAACAAGTGTAATTTTTCTTCCATATTATAAACCTTTCAAAAACATTGAGTTAGTGATAGTGCTTCTCAAACCCCAAGTGTTCCTTTTGAAGAACTGTCTGCAGGCTTAGGCTCTGCAAAACTTTATGTTGCTTCTTTGGGTAACAGTTTCTGCATCTCTAAAAAGGCAGTGAGATATGAATTGCTGTGTGTAAAGCACTTATAAACAATAAAGCGCTATGGATCTGAGTTATTATTATTTAGTATGTTTTCAGGTTTTTCTAATGTGGGTTTTAACTCCCTTAAGCAAGAGAGCAATTATCTCATTATTTATCAGAAGAAAGGCCCAAGTGGATTCCATCTGATTTTGTTATTGTCAGTTTCTGTTTCTTTCGCTGTGAAGTTATATAGAGAAGGTTATGCAGCATTTCCTCTAATTATTGGTTTCCCAATCGAAAGGGAATAATTACACTTTCTCAAAAGAAAGTCTCCACCCTTCCCCTGGGTATTTTCTTGAAATTTATATATCGTGTTTATGCTTAAATACTAACTAAACCATTGGGCTCTCTGGTGTCCTTACAATGGGGCTTCTTTTAAAATGATTATGTAACTTTTTCAGTTAAAAATTTAAGCACATCATAACAATTTTTCAGACAGAACACAAGACTTGAATAGACAGAGAGTAGTTTATCCTCAGTGTATAAGCATCTTTCTTGTCCTTCAGTCTGTATGCAGTTTTAGCATAAGGCTCCAGTTTTTAGGGTAGAACTTCTATGACTCATTTTGTATAGACCTACTAGTTTAACAGAAGACCAAGCAGAGAAGAAAAATAGTAGGGAAATGAGCATAAGTTTAACCCACAATGCTACTCTTTGTATTTTGTTAGTCTACTGAAGTTGCATTTCCATAAATAAAGATATGACTTTAATAAAAGCTAATGGAAATGACAAACATTTTTCAGCCTGACTAGTAGGTTCAAAAAATCTACAAGGTTGTTTCAGCTTTGCTCTTTTTTTGGGGGGGGGTAATAAACATTCAAAATTTTTTTTTTAGTTAATGCTTGACCCAGTAATTTGATGGTTTGTAATGGTTCACCACATTGCCGTTAATTTCATGAGTAGCAATGCATAAAACGAAATGACTGTTCTGTCCAAGTGCCACCATGTGACGGAAAATTCCCAAATTGTTGATAACACTTTATAGAAACTGGAAAAGGAGAGCTGAGCAGAAACCCATGATAGCAAAGCAGACAGACACCTAATGAGAAAAGCAGTGTGATTAAATACATTTACTCTTAAGTTTTTTCAATGTGTTACTCTTTCTAGAGGTATTAGCATTTTAGAGAACACCACATAATCCAAAGAATTGAATTTCTATTGGAGGAATATCATGTAGCGTAATACTGGAAAGTGAAGAATTTTAGGTTGTGGTGTGAGTGGGTTTATTTTGTCTAAATTTTATTTTTGATTTTAAACATCCAAAAAAAGAACATTTGCATATTAATGGAAGGGAACACAAAGCAGATTATATATGAAATCATGAATCTTCCATGATTGATACTTTTTTTCAATCTATATAATGAATTCCAAACATCACTTTCAAAACTATCCTGATTTTCTGAGCTTCTTTCTTTTCTGTATGTTAAAAAAATGTTTCAATGGCCCCCTTTTTAAAAATATCAGTATTGATAAACCCTTTCCTCCCCAAATGAAAAACTCAGATAAAGGGGTGTTAAATCCTTGTAACAAAGAAGCATGTTCAGGCAAAAGGAATCTACACATGCCAAAACATGTTTCTTTCTGTACCCTGAGTCCATCAGCTTTGTCAGGAAAAGTAACGTGTTTCCTCAAGGGTCCTCTGGAGACACAGCTAGTTCTTGCATTGATGAGCATTCATGAGTCTTTGGAAGTTGTTTTTATTTACAGTGTTGTCTTTGTATAGATTGTTCTGCTTCTGCTCCCTTTACTCTGCATCATACTACCCAGGATCCTTTACAGTCGTCTTTTGTCATTTCTTAGGCTACAGTATTACCGTGTTATGTACCATGGTTTGCTCAGGCACTCCTCATTTGATGAGCACCCTCTTAGATTCTAGT